TAGAATGCAAGCTTCTGATAACCACATCCAAAACTGCTCGTTCACTACAAAATTCCTCATTTCCCCGAACGCAAGTGTTCAGTAATTACGCGACAGATAACGACAATATTTTATCTGACGAGGCGTTGTGTTAGTGATTAGATTTGCTTTTAGAGACCCTATAGTAACAGGGAACATGAGGAGTCATTTGTACCGCATGCAAGTTTGTTTCCTTTGCAACTCCAATGCCAGTTGACTATTTGTTTAAGCAGATGCTGATCTATTCAGACGAGCTGAGACCTGCTGGGATAGTCAGACTGTTTGTCATATAAATGAATAAAAATCTCTAACAAAATAGCCTGTCCATTAACGGGCTAGGGACTTGAAAACTTACCAAAAGCTCCATTGTAAAACCTTTCACTTTGGCCACTGGGAGCACTGACGACGATAAGTTTGTTTCACTCTAGGTTATTAGCCCTAGCTCATTCGCGAAAATTGGCTCAGTGGATTTTGCCGGTACTATTACTTCTCTGTAAACTTTAGTACACTTGCACGATGTTTCACAAGATGAAAAAGGTATTATACAAATGCAAGTTTATTCACCTGACCTACGGATTTCTTCAAACTTCAATTACGAGATAAACTATTGTTTACACATTTCTGTTAGGTCCCAATTCCAGGGACAGGGTATCCCATCTTTAGATTATTAAATGTGGGGTGATTTTGTTATGTAACACCGACTCAGCTATTTAGATATATTGGTGAAAGCAGGGTGTTTGGGCGTGACAATGTCAAATAGTGAGTAATGCCTCCAAATGAGCTTCTGTATCTTGAAGCATTTGTGCAAAAATCCATATTGCGCTCTCCATGGTGATTACGGGTTAATGTTTGGTGATGCTTCTTGCTTTCTAGCTTTAATATATTCAAGGGAAAGGGTAGCATCTAATTTGTAAATTGATTTAAAACTTCATCTCCCGCTTTCCGGGTAGTTGTCAACAAATGTCAGAGGAAATGGCAAACGGTAGATGACTTATCAATACTGCTTCATCAGTGTTAGATGACAGCCCACTGTAGAGAGCGACATGCATAAACTGCCCGCAGTTAACCATGTTTTTCCGCTTTAATTAGTACAAATGAATACACGCCGAAAAACTGACGAATTAAGGAAATGACGGTTATCGATCGACAGGAGCTTGGACTCGGAAGTTGTCCGTCTCTTTGAACGAGAATTATTTTCAGCCCAACCACGTTTTTCTCAATAAACATCACGCGAATTCAGTGTGTGGCAAATATCAGATCCTCCACGGGGATTGAGAATTAATTAGATAGTCAGTCAGTAGCAGAAGTGTTCCAGGTTAGTGGTTCTCAAAATTTCTAGTTCAGTGGTTTCCTTCTCCCCTGTTCTACTTTCGTCTTTCAATCATGTCCCCGATGTCTGCTGTAAAACGCAGTCACTAAAAAGAAGATACACTCTACACAGTAACGAGTTAAGCCGATCCCCTGAAGTATGCATCAGCATTCTCAGTTAGTTTACATTGCTACCGACTGTGTTGCACGGATAGCAGCCAAGTCATCATTCTCCAAGGGAAAGTCATCCAAGGAAAGGAAGTAAAATAAGCGACTATGAACTGACATAACGTTGTCTTCTGAATAACATTAGAATTTTCTTCTCCCAAAGGATTGTGGACGTTCTACGATTCTCATTTAGTCGAATCGATAGGAAATAAGACATCACTTGGAGCACCGTACGATAAACCGAGTCCTGTGACAAGGAAGACAACGGAAACAAGATGCCTACCTCATTCATGAAATGCTAGGAGAATTTTAGGTCTCCAGGTTCTCATGGGCACCACATGCAACATTATCGGGAGCAGCAAAAAGTTGTGATTGAAAATTAGAGAACCAGCTATTCAAAACCTGAAAGTTTTATAAAGTTTCATCGGTCAGTGAGAGTGATACCTGTGAGACTGAAGCTACATCAGATAACCATGAGAATCTTTCGGGCCTGGAAGACTCAAAACGTTTTCCACTACAATTCGACATTTTACATCCAGAGCTGACTGTTTTAGAGTTTCTTTTACCGTCATAATTTTCTGGTGTTTTAGTACGAGGTCTCGCGTTGGTCCACCGAAATCTCCAGTGTTCTTCACACTTTTCAATTGTGGTGGGCACACCAAAACCTGATTTGTTGATCCAAAACAACTTGTATTTCTTAACTTGTTAACCCAAGAATAGCGTTATTCAGTGTGTGCTCAGTACCTCTGAACCAACGCCTCGGAAGAGTTTCGCCATTTGAGGTGTCAATGGCATCTAAAGTTGATCCGCCAACAAAAGTAAAAAGAAATATTGAGAAAGTAAAACCCCGTCTAACACCATTGGACATGGCAAACTCAACGTGGTTCCGTTTGTGTCCAGAAGCGTGTGTGTAGTAGATTTAGAGGAAACAAATACTGACTTTTTGGGAGAATGCTGACAGCCCAAATGGTGCAAGCGGCTATGTAAGACTACTTACTACCAGTTGCACCGAGACGAATCCAAGATTTCCCCCTGCTTGTTAGTGAAAAGTTTTGAGAGTGAACTTACCAGCTCAGAGGACAAACACACTAAAGATTAGGAATTCATATAGTTTCCTTCGACTGCCAAACACTGTCAAAATGTTAACGACCAACACGCAAAATCGGCTTACAGAGAAACATGGATGGTCATCGTGTAATTTGAAATGACTGGCCTAGTTTCAGCGCCTGTATTGAAATGAAAACAGTCAATCATTCGCCAGAATAAAACATAACTTGCCCCCCAATAAATCTTCTCTTCATGCAGTTAAGCATCTTGTGCAGAACAATATCAGGAGGTACACTTTGAAAGCAGCTACTGTCAGCTTGATGCCACAATACTTTTTGCCGGATGATCTTTCGGCCTTTATGATAACTGGGGTCGCCCTAGAAACATCCTTTTCTGGTAGAGTTCTGCTTTAGCCAAATCTGAATTTGATTAAGGTTAGTATATCTAAAACCACTGCACTGTATAGGTCTTTGAAGAATGTAGGTTATCTGGCTCACATATATCTGTGCGTTGAGACGGACGGATACTGTCGCTAAAATTCTGATGCTGAGTCTGTCCTGTGTCAACGTTTCACTAAAGTCCATGGGTTCGAACAAGAGTTAGTGTGGGAAGATCAGCTAAACTATTCTTCAGAGTTCTCAGTCTGCCGTTCGTAGTGGTGATTTTGCGTATGATTTGTTGCTTCATTACTTTGCTTCAAGGCCCCTTTGGTGAAAACCAGATTAATAGGCAAGTGAACTGGCGAAATACTTGGCCAACAGACGTTATAGGTCCCAACTGGCTCTCCAGCTCCCCTAACTTCCGGTCTTTCTTCACTGTTCTGCGATATTACTTGGGCCACTGGATTTTTTAATGCTTTAATAAATCACGAGTGTTATTAGCTAATGTTGTTTTTCCGATATCAGCAAGAGCTACTGATCACGCATGTCGAATAAGTTCTGCGTACTGTATTGAAAGCAAAGAGCTTTACCATTTCTCTTCGCTCTCTGAAAGGTTTTTCACCTTCAAAACCGTAGACCGTCAGAGCATATATTGACAGGACAATCAATTAGTATTTACAGCGTGCAGTCGCGTTTATCTTGATGGATACGGACATATATACGGCTCAAAAACGATTATTTGTTTTGCTCCAAGCGTTCATTTGTTAACCGTGGGCAACCCTCACATCGCGGATATTGCAGGATCACTGAAAAATCCAAAAATAAAGTGCGAAATAATTTATTTATTATTGTCGGTTTTAAGTGAAGAACCTTTCTGGGAATTTTTACATATCCTTCACAGACAGTACATATCAGCAGACGGGTGGGCGCAAGTTTCAGTAAGGAATATTTTTCATCCAGTTCACAAGAGCATAAAAAGTTTAAAAGCTAAAGAATGGACGATATTTTTTGTGTTCAGTAAAGCAACATTTCAATTTATGTTAGTAAGGGAGTTAACAGGACTGGTTGATAGTTTGGGGAAATTGCAGGAGGATCGGTAAACAAACGGCAGGAAGGGTGAATAATGAATCCTCGTTGTCTAAGCCAAAGAGAGACTTAGTCGATGCATTCCACTTTCCGCTTTCGCCTCAAAAGTCTGATTCATAAAGAAATGATTGGTTTGGAGGCTTATTCTTAAGGCTGCAATCTGAGTTCAACAGTCTGATCTCGAGAGCATTACTTTTGGCGGGAACCACATCAGTCTGTGGATGAAATTTAACAGATTTTGACGGCATTGAATAGTGTCTGACTGGTCACCATAACCTGCTGGAATACAAAACGTAGTTTTTAACACTGAATTTCCATAACCTGTGCCTCGTATTAGTTATGCCAAAGTGTTAACCAACGATTGTGAAGATACTTATCATTATACTGTCCTCTACCTCCATGAAGAAGACGGTATGATCTTACACTTGCTAACCATACCACCCGCAGTACGGGGGCTTGCTGTGTTACATCTGACTTGGTATGTCGGATAGTTTGGGTACGACGTTCAAACTGGACTTCTACAGCACCGAAAACTGACTAATACTTCACTTCGACTGGAGAACGGAATAAGGGAATAATTAGGCCGATCCAAAAGGTACCCGAGGGTCTATGTATTCAATTAACCATGTATTCTCGTGCTAGTTGAATGCTGTCAAAAATTTCACAATATGATATTATTGATCATTACTTGAGATAATAAAAATCACTACACCAGATGTACATACTGGAATCCATATTAAGCAGTCGATATTCTATGCGCAATGTAGTTCTGGCGCCGCAAACGTTTGATCTGATTATACAACCTGTTACGGTCATATGCGTAGAAATACATCCCTGCCTGGATGAGTGAGTGAATGAAGTTGACCGCAAACAAATGTAAACTCAGCAATTTCTACAAGACTTGTCTAACAATGTTTGTGTGTGCTGTGTCTGGTGGGCCAGCAGCATCCGGTTTTAATCGATTAGATAACCGCGCCAGAAACTTTGACATACCCTTCGGGTATGATTATACATACTTGGTATTGTTTCAGTTCCTTGTGGTGTTCGATGGGTTGCGCACCACAGCAAAGAGAAAACGACAGTTTGTTCGCCATTTGTTCGTATAGTTCTTTGCCTGGTAAAATAGTAGGTAAAATAGTGTAGTAAACCAAGTGTAAGACCGGAAACAAGTAAGCGTAAAATACCATGTTTTACAAAGCCCCAGTTACTGTCCTTTTAAAAATCTCCGCGAAGTCTGTAAAGTCTGCATCCAAAACGAGTGATTTGTAAGAATGCAAATGGTTTTTTATCTTCTGATTGGTTGCATCAGCAATGGTGCTAACATTGGGTCGATAAATCTGGAAATTCGTTTGCTTAATACTTCCGTTTGGAACTAGTGTAAAAAAATGCATGCTTTGGCCATTGGATACAAAATATTTTTTCGTTACTTTGTGGATTATCACTGTCTTTTCATCACATGCTGCCTGTGGTATGTTTTTTCCAAATTCATGCATTAAAAGCAGTATTCTATCATTTATTAAGTAGACATCAGGTGGGCTGAGTAGCGCGATAAAAGCTGCATCGTTTTCGATGGGTGGTCGGGGGTTAATTCATTGTCATACAGATAAAAGTTATGTTAATAATGTTTTGCTGGATACGACAGAATTATGTTTGGTGTTAGTTTGACTATCTGAAGGTAAGTCACCTCGTTTAGCTCATAATCGTGTAAGCTGAGCGTCTCTTCCGGTAAACATCTTACATTTAACCAGATAATTTAACGACAACCAGGTATGGACTTACGATAAGTATGTTACTGAACAGTGTCAAAGTTTGAAAGTGACTTCAAACGATACGCCCACTCAACTTCAGGTTTTTAGTTCGTTCCAGGAAGACTGGGATTTCACCGCGGATCACCAGTACTAAGCAGCAAAAACAGCACAGTCTAAACTGTGGCTCCATGGCAACCAGGGCTCGCGTATCGCTTTTTATTACGTAACGTCAGTGTAAGAAGTCGGTAGAAAAACTAGGCGCATCAGGTCACGCGGTTCTCATAAACCGCCAAACGTTTAACTTTCATTCATGATTAATTCGGACATCGTACTTCAAATTTCGTATAACACTAGAGAGTGGCTCAAAGCCAGTAGTTTGTACTGCTTAAAATATATGCCAAAAGGGTTTTATACACAATATTCTCACCCTATGATCATTGGGCTAGTAGCTCTTCCCCTCTGAAACCGTTTTGTAGGAGAGCATGTAATAGAGTTATACTTCGAGTCTTGGCGAGATTGAATTCTGCATACAGAACACTAAGGATAGTGCTGGATTACAGTGCGACTGTAAAGGGTAATTTATCTGACATATTGTCTTCCTGTGGAGGATAAAACCAATGACCCTTATTACAAACTCATCAGGGTGCTAATAGTTGGCACCGGCCAGAACTAGTACCCTGGTAGAATGAGAGGTGCGTTCAGTCTGGGACCTATGCAAATTGACTACTGAGGCCAGGACCCGATTTTAGAGCAAGTAACCCCTCTTTTAGTGCTATCATACTCAAGTCTGCTGATGGCATGCAACGGTCCTCTGAATTTTCGCTTGCCGACCTTATTCTCTTAAGTATACAGTGGTATAAAGAGTTGACTCAGCACTGTGTTCGTCTGGGGTTGTCCAAGCAAGCACTTGCGCGGTCTCAGCAAGATTGACAGTGAAATCCTTTCCGCATGTCAGTTACTCGCAGATTGGTCACAAACAGCCAATGAACCATAAAACGAAGTCGGAGTTTTGTGGAAACAGATAAGGGTTTCCCACCTAAGAACAGCTTCAAACACGCAAACTGAGCCCCGGTAAAAAGTTTTAAACCAAAGCCTAGTAACCGTGAAAACGGTTGCTGACGTAGCGGTGGAAATTCTGTACATTATTCGATGGACCAAAGATTACCTTTCAAACGGACTCGCTGGCATTAGTTTACATCAGTCGCCATCTTTTTCTAAATTTATGAAACTTCTAGAAGCTTCACAGCCAATTCCACTTTAGAGTTTTAAAAGCTGTGAATAAAACTGAAACCCAAATCGAAGCAAATTCTTACCGTAACAAACTCAAAAATGCATAGAGCTTTGTGGGTTTTTACGATAATCCAAATATTTTGCCGACTATGTTCAGGTGCATTCTGAAGTTCGAAATTTTTTTTCAGAGTATTAAATTTTTATCAATTTTTTGTTTTCTACTCTGCCAATACAGAGTATTTTTCAAGACGAAAATAGTTATTAACCGAATTGTGAATAAAATTAATTCAGATGTAATACAGCCCCAAGAAAACAAATTTTGGTGGGCCCTCTGAGGCAATTTCGGGACCGTCAAAGGTTTAAGGGCAGAAGTTCTAGAAAACAATGTCGCTTTTGGTTGACCTTGCTGGACTGCCACTGCCAGTCTTATCAACGCAACCCACGGAATATATGTTATAACAGGTGACAAATCATGGACGGATACGTAAGTAGATCTCAAAAATGCACGATACAAATCGGTCAGGAATCGCCTTTCATTGGATCAGTCGTTCTCCATGCTTTTTAGTTCTGATAAAGAAACATTTGTCAAAGAGTTAACGTAGAATGGCTTTTTTATGCTATTCAGCTTTCGTCGGTTCGTGTGCGGTTCACGTGCGTCACAAGCAAACTAAACAGAATATAAATATTTAATCAGAATGTCGATAAGTCATAAGTTTCGGGACGTCACCAGTAGCATTAGCTCCATTTGTCAAAAACACAATGCACTCTAAACTTACAGGTAAATAGTATAGCGACTAAACTACATACCGTGTAATGAGGAGCGGCTAGGTGGGGGGTCACTTCAAGGGTGGATGTGCAGACAAGAATAGTTAGTTTTTAGGCGCGCATTATTTCCACTGCGCTGTTGTCGGTATTACCACACAAAAGGCGACGACTTTCGATTCCGATCACACAATGAAAGAGTAAAGACGTGAGCAGCATACGCAATGTAGGGGTTACCTTATTTCAAACACACAAAAAGGATAAATTACTGGTGTGGTTTCGTGTTACTAGAAGAATCTTTGCGACAGGTTAATTATATCGCCAATATCCTGCTTCTGGATTGCAACTGTTCTTCATAACTAAAAAGGGTAAGTTTTAGATGAGTTTGTCTAGCTGTTCCGCCCACATACTGTCGGCCACGCCGCTTCAGATTCGAGGACACGCACAACGACATCATGTATATATATATATATATATATATATTCACCGGGCTTGTTCGCTTGTTCACGTCAAAGTGCTGAAGTCCCTGAAGGGTCGGTCATACTACAGCTTTGTCTCCTTGGCCAAATACAAAGAGAACCTCTAATCCAACAGCTTTTGTAGTGGTTGCATAACAGCTAAGAAGTGACGGTATAGAAAAAATGACAAGGGAACTCATATTGCAGAAGCTCGCAAACTTAGGCTGGTACGGATGGTGTATTTACAGTGCCTGCCCAATAGGGGTACATTGTATTTGTACCACCTCCAGTGTCCTGTGTAGAAAACGTAAGATCTATGGGTAAAGTTAACTGGATAAAACGAACCCTGAAAAATCGCATACGACACCTCTCTTGGATAGCCTGTCGTATTCACCTAAGTTGGTAACTCATGTGATATGTTGATGGTAATCGCATGTTAGTAGTTACTGCTATGTGATACTACTTTGATGCGATGTATTATAGTAGGCATCAACACGTCACTTCAGTCTCGTTTCAAGCATTTGACAAAATGTCCGAAAATTGTTTGAGCTAAATCTGTAGGCAAATAGTGCTCTTTGGAGAAAGTCCTCCGTTAAGGTCGTTCCGAACTTCACTCACATCAAAAACTGTACACAGGATTCACACTTACACAATAGAACAATATGTCTGTTTGTACTGAGCAAACTTGCTACTATACAAATTTAGTTTGGGTGGAACACGAGCCCCTTGTTTCACTTCGCTTTATCGTCGCTTTTTTGGGACTACTCTTAAACGAAGTCTATACTGCGAAGTATTCTCCTCCACCTAACTTTAGGGATTACTTCGGATCTCCTATCGTCGAAATCGGAAAACTGAATAATACAAGGTATATTTTGGCATTTGCTGATCTTGTAGTATGTTCAAAATCCAACCTGAGCATGCAGTAAATCAATTGGAATGGGTTAGGTTTTTGTTTAATTTACGCACTATGCGTCACTGCATATTTCAAATAGACAAAACATAAAGTTGATGAAGATAGAATAATTTTCGCTCATTATATTACATGAAAAGGCATCTGATCGGTTATCGTTCCTCAGGGTGTTTTTTAACCAAGTCGATTTCAGTCCATTAGGGGAACAAACGTGTTAGGGACGCCTATTTGAGTGAATTATGGTCAGCGGTTGATGGGTTTTACGAGCCTCAGATGTATCATGCCTCCATAAATTGACCTTAATTGACATACTCGGCATCCTACTTGGTCGCTAATTTTTCAAACAGAGCCCAATAAAAAAGCAACAGAAATTTCGATTATAGCATAAGAGAATCATACGGTACTAAAATGCCATCTTCTTGATAAGAGGTCCCTGTACACACACCTGATTTTAAGGAGTAAATAACTTACAAATTGTGTTGTAATTTCGTATTTGTACATGGGCCCAGTAGATCCCCAAAGGCAGTCTGTAAGGTATAAGCCAGTTTCACCCGGGAACAAGTAGGTTAGCATCACGTCTGAAACGATAAATTGCATTGCGTTTACATGTAGGCAATAAAAGTCTACAGTTGAACAAGAAGGAACAAGAATACTCTGTCCTACTGATTCACTCAAATAGCCTGAAAAAGGAACACTACTGTAATGAATGCATTCTTGGTTTGGACGAGGGGACCATGTGAGCTTTCACATTGAAAAAAGCTTACACGTGCTTACATCGCAGTGAATTGGGAAAGTTTCACATTTATTTCACATAAGTGACAGTCTTCGTGTGACGAAAATCAGGTGACGAGGCTTTTTTATGGCTACACCATGATTGCAACAGATTTTTGTCTATCTCAAATTAGGAATAGCTATTGTCCACACGAGTTGTTTGAAGGTTATCCCAGTTTTCAAATTAGAGTCGTTCTGACGGCTAAAAAATAACAACCATTTTGGATATTTTTTATGCACTAGGGCAGTGATTATCGACTGGAAAAGAATTCTGAGGGTTCAGAAAAAGGATGTAAAGTTTATATTCAGAAACTAATTTTGGTGCAATATACCTTATGCTTATTTTGCTGCCCGATGGCTAGAAAACCAGCCGGATCAACAACATTCACAAACTGTCCTATGCTCAGCTTCAACCTGAACCGCAGCAAGCAGTTATATTTTAAGGTGGATTTCGAAATCTAATACGCGCTAGGATAATGATACTTCGTTGTCTGTCCAAAGTTAGACGTCTTCCTCTCATCATGCTAAAAGTTTCGGTAGCTGGAGACGACATATGTTTGGTGTCATGACCGCCCTCGTTTACTTCAGTCTAAGCAACCCCTCCATATTCAATATGCGCCTCACTCAAAAGCGTTATGGTAGTCCCTTGCTTTTCTCGGTATATCGATGCAAACATTAAAGTAATGTTGCATTGCTTTGCATCAGGTGGGCACTTACAGATCAACTTGAGCCTGGTAGTTTACAGGCTGCTTGCGACTCACCTTGAGCGTCTCTGTCACTAGCTGGAAGTAGCTATGTCGTCATAAGTAGATTGCATAACGTATTTCCATGAACAGCTTTGGTTTTGAAAGGCAAAATGTAAGACCATGTAAACTGACTACCAATAAGAAACCTTTATGCGGTTTCGGCTACCAGAAGGTGCCAAATTAACTCGTTGCGTAACAGACTAACCACTGCTGCGGGTACAGTTGACTATCAAATCTATAGCCAAACTTGCTCCGTCGGTTTTTAAATTACCAACAACACACTGCTGGACCTAAGAAGTCAATTATGCAGTTCAAACTTAACTGCTTGTAACAAGAACAAAAGTTAGTTAAACGCTACAGCGATCCAGCCGTCAACTTCGGACCAATCGAACTTTTGAAAAAAAGTACGCTTAATTCAGTCTCACGCATCTATGAGAAATTTTGTAACTTTTCTGCCTCGCTTATCTGAATAACATCAACATAATATTGTATACATACACCTCACCATTTGTTTCTGACATCGTTTACAAAAATACACCACAATGTGATCAGATTAGGGTAAAGATAACGAACGTTTTATCGCAGCATATTATGCAAACAACTCCACGTGGCGATGCAAAATGTAAGAACCGGAAGTATATTTAGCACCGAAAGCCGATAGGCCAAATCAGCGATTCAGGAGCAGTTGTACTACAGTTGTACGTCACACTGATCATTAAACACCTACGGGATTCGGATAGAACAAACCACACCTTTTGTGCTTCATTATTGAAAACCATGTGATAATTAGACAAATTCTATAAATAGAGGCACTCAAAGTAACAGGTTGCTGCATCACTAAAACTTCGTCCAGATCCGTATAGGACAAAGCTGTATAGAAGGGATCTTCGACGACAAGAATGGCCCAAGGTTTGATTATTGTTATACTGGCCGTTCCAGAGTGCTTTAGGACATGACAGATGGGCTGAAAATCCAGAGTGTGTTCCGTCAGAGCTGCTACAAGTTTTAGACGATTTACACCCATTCCATGGTTCACATCTAGGTAAATTTTAATTTAACCCAACAGTAATTGTTTGTTGACTTTAGTATTCTTCTTGTGCGTAAAGCGGATTCACATACTTCCATACCGATAACTGCGAATAAGTAAAGAAAGCACTAAATAATTGTGGGCACTTTTGACGCTCTTTTGCGCTGTGTTATTTCTCATTTAGTTTGGCAAAAATGCAAAAAAGCCCTAACATTAGACTATTCATAAAAAATTACAGCAATAATACTGACGACTTGAGTATCGTCAAGCTGATATAAAACAGCTTCACAGTTTTTTTCTGGGGAGGGATTTGTTTGCAACACTCATAGTTTCTCTATAGAGCACCGTTGCTCAGAAATGTGGTCACTATTTACCGCCCGTTCAAGTGTTACAACACCTCTTACTTGCGCGGCAGTTTTAAGATTATCATTTGTGTATTTTACGCTGGTAAATTGTATGAATGTTTTTGCGCGTCACATTGCGAATAATAGCAACGGAACCTGTAGCGGGAAAATTCTTCGATATCTTAACATATGGTACGGTCTTTCTGCAACAGATTAAGCTGAAAAGTTTTATTAACGACGGCTATAATATGCGATATATTCACGAGAAAAAGTGAACACCACCTACTCGACTTGGCACCATGACGTTACTTTCGTCCGTTTGGTTCCTCCTAATTACTCCTGTAGAAGAGCAGAAGAGCAAGCCGATGCAGCAGCTGGATTGCCGTTAAAAAAGAAGTAATGTTGCCACAAGCTTCAGCGGTAAGACTAACCTATGCTGGTCATCCCGGTAGACATTTTTGTTGCAATTTATATATGTTTTGCCAACATCCGTGCTGGAATTTCTAATAATGGACCTGCTAAAGCAAGGATTGGATAGTTTAAGCACCTTCGGCTGCATTCCTTTTGGTCTTATGGTTGGGCATGGAGTTTTTTCTCGTACCTTGCAGTTCAGTGATTCGGGGAAACGGAGACTCTCTCCCCAACAAGAGACTTCGTCAACTTTATTGAGTTAAAACATACTAGATGATTTTGAACAAACACATTCTGTTGGGCATGGAGTTTTTTCTCGTACCTTGCAGTTCAGTGATTCGGGGAAACGGAGACTCTCTCCCCAACAAGAGACTTCGTCAACTTTATTGAGTTAAAACATACTAGATGATTTTGAACAAACACATTCTGTGCAGCAAGATGGTCTGTTGATCAAAAAAACCATTCACAAAGATGCCAAACCTGTAAGACAGCTGAAAATTTCACAGTAAATGCAGATTTCACCTGTTTTCACTTAGCACAGTAAAGCAAAGCATATCGTTTTCAGGTGATTAAAACTTAGTCGGTTCTTTGGCCAAATGAAGCTGGAGCTGTGTGAAATACAACAAAAATTAATTAAGCTACATAACATACATCTGAAAGAATCTCGTATACAGACACTCTATAAATGTCATGGTCCCAACAGAAAGATTTGTCTCATCGCTCACTCTTCATACAGAAGAGCAGCCATCTGCCATGATCTTGCTGTCCCTAGAATTTCTCCTAAGGAAAGCAAAATTTGAACGGAAAGTTATAAAGTTTTTTCGAATGGATCTAAAACGTATGGCCAAAAGGAAAGGAATTAGTACATTTTCTGTGATCTGCTCCAGATTAAACGTGACACCAATCTCAGTGAAATAATAGTTACTAATCCGGCTCTCATGTTTTCCAAATCAAACGCAAAACCCTGAGTAAAATATCTGTGCACTCCATGTGTTGTGTACATGTTAATTTTCGATCATCTGAAAATACAAATTTGATGCCTGTTTATGAAAAGCGAGACTTGTTCTTCCGAGCTTCTAGAATACGAGCTATGTGGGCAAGATTCCTATCGTTCCATAATCCAGTTGCCAAGTTTGATTTCAGTGCTTGTCAGATGAAGGCATGGAGCCCTCTGTTCTGATCAACGTTATCGGATGTTTCTTCACACTCAGTCAGAAAGCGTTCCAACGTCTCATTTAATAAGTTATCTGTAAGCTGCTGACTTTAATGTGAAATGTTTACGCCCACTGGCAGATGTCAATTTGTGCCGGATTGGCTTTACAAAATGTGAATAGCTTCACAGGACGACCGTCACTCTCCCGGTTCACTCTCGTAGTGAATGACAATTCGTTTGAAGTATACTATGAGGAATCTAGTCAGTTACTTCCACTCTGGTTGTCCATAACGGTATTGGTTTTTCGCAAGTAAGCAGATCCCAGCTAGTATTTTTGAACTTCTGTTTGGTGACAGATGACACGGGTATAGCACTCTGCTTATCCTTTAGCAAGAAGGCTGCGTTAGCGATCCTATGTATATCATGTAACCAAGAAGTACTGGCGTTAAATCGGTGTGTTAAGGACAAAATATGGGACAACTTCGAATTCAGCTGAAGGTTTTGTCTGTTTGCCTTTTGACGGTCCAAAAATCGACGTCCATAAACTATCTCATGTCCAAACCGCCTTACATACTTCGTTCTATCCACACGGTTGTCCCTATTCCATGTGTTCAATCATGCAGATGGTTGATTCTCGCGAAATCCGACCTTGTAAAGTAACCTTGGTTTTTGAATATTACCAGCATTCCAGCTTATCTCTGTCACTATGCATTCCTCTATAATTGCAGCATCTGTGTGCACCGAGCGACCGCTGTTACTCGATTCGGATTCGGAATGTTCTGTATTCGAACGTGCAAGGTGGTCCTGTTCCAGTGCTTGAGCAGAAGAGTCAAGTGCCACTGTCACTTCACAGTCTGTCACAAAAGTGGCTGGAGACAAATTCCCACGAAACTGGACCACATAAGATTAAGTCAGTAAGAAATGGTGTTATTTACATTCTCAAGTTTAGCAAGATAGCGAAACAAACCGAATAGTTTTATTTGTAGCGGTGTAGGCATGATTGTGTGTAAGGACGTTCCAGTTTGATTCCATGAGTTCACTTATGAGAGATCCATGTGTAAAGAGCGAGACAGATGGTGCGACATAACTGAGTAAAAGCTTAACAAAAAATCGAACGTATTTCAGGGATAACATTTCAGCCTGGAATTGGGAATAAGACCTGCTCAAGAGATGACTTTAAGCCTTTGGCTGAACAAACGGAAATCCTACGTGGGTCAAAAAAATAATAAGAGAGTACAAAAAGACTGCATTTATCCCATGAGAATACACAGAGGAAAAGCAATCAAATGGAGTAGATTTGTTACAAAAAATGCGTTTTCCATATTGCTCATGTTTATGGTCGGACTACCTTGGCTGAGATGATCTGAAAATACGGCTGCAGAGCTGATGGTGTGCTCTGACAAGAAGAATATCGCACATGGCTGTCTTTTTTATTGGCTTTTACACAACTGAGCATCAGTGGGGCAATACGTACGAGAATTCTTGAGGATAAGCTCAGTGCGCACAGTTTTTCTAGCCTCATGTACGGAGAAACGAGTGAGAGTGTGAGTAATAAGTTTCCTCAGCACATCGGCAAAATATTTGAGTTGATGAATAAAGAGGGGATTGTGGAACGCAGATATCTTCGATACATATGTACGAAGCAAACGTAAAAGTTACTTTCTAGGTGTAGGGGAATTTATCCTTTGTAAGCATTCCCAAGCATCTTACCATCAACCAAGTTGAGTTGGATGGAAATCCTTCATTTAGTGCAACAAATCCGGGTAGTGAAATTCCTTAACAAGTTCGGTCCTGAAAAGTTTTACTATCCTAAATATCTTTTGATCAGTCGACGTATTCGAACGGTGATCTTAATATTTGCACTGTCTGTCACAGCATGAACTGAATTCACCCAAAACAGTAAGTCAACCACATCCCTATGAGTAGTGCTGTACGTCCACCTATGTAGCGCGAGGTCTCGAGTATCGTACCAACTGAAATATGAGGTGGCCTAGTGCAGCACATTCATTTGCTTAGATACATCATAAACGAGCGATTCAGCTGGATTCCGGGTTATATTTTTTCATACTACATTACACTAGTTGCAACTAGATGCTACAGTCTCCTGTGAGAAGAATCTGAGCTCATATGAGAACAAAAGCCCAAATGCAGGTGTTCAGATAAGCGAGATTATCTGGGGTGATATGGCACTTCCAGATTAACTTTGCATAGAAGATATAAGAGAACGGTAGTGTGAGAGGTTAAGAAGACGGATAATAAACGTAGTGTCCAAAGTTTCCAAAGCATTCTCAGAGCTTGTAGTGGTGAAAGCGGGGAGAACTCAAGCATATAATCAAGCTGGACCCTATCCCTGGTTGGCCAATGAACCGGATCGTCAGGACAAGGATGAAGAATGTAAGGGAAAACCCAGCCAGGTATTCATTCAGCATATTTTATGAAATCTTTGGAAACAACAATGGGCGACTAAGTGAACAAAAATCTAAAAAGATGTGGCTAGAAACCTGGGTTTACAGGACATCGTTGAAATGTTGCTGCCTTCGTAGTCGGTGCCTGGTCTCAGTAAACAAAGTTGAGGAGAGCTGTGTCGTGTTTTCTGTTCCTCAACACACAACCAAATCGTGCTGAACTCTGTCCAAACTCTATTCTCAACTGACTGTCAGACAAACATCGAGTAGGAAAGTTAGTCTTTTAAAAATCCACCTGGCATTGAGAGCTGAGATATCAGGAGGAGAGAACTCCGATAAAGATGTAACTAGTGGCCCCTGATGCCGGTTGCCAAAAGCAATTGAAAAAATCGCAATAGATAACGAGTGCAATAGGTCGAGGTTGATTAGAAGAACGGACTCCAGGGAAAATTTTGCAACCAAATCTAATTATGTGACACGAAAGTTTCGATTCGAATGTGACATAGTTGCGGAAGAAACAGAAAGTAGAGATTGAATAAGCACTTTTGTGAACGGGAACCTAATGTGGACGCCCAATCGACGGGCGCGCGTTAGTACATGTTTGGCCTCTTTCTTTTTTTGTTTACATGCAAAAGCAATCTTTTCGGTGGCACAAAGATTTTCTTGCTGTATGTTTGCGCAAACGACCAGTTGGTTAAGACGAAATCTGTATCACAAGGTTTACAGTTCCACCAAAAATGGAGGGAGCTCCCATTTGCCTATGTAACACGTTTTTCAGTAGCGACGCTCGTTGTGTTAAACATAATCTATCTTGCTTGTTTATGCCCTTGCGCTTCCACGTTTTTCAAGAGTCGGTAGTTCGACCAATCGGTTCTCCGACTTGTGAAATCACCATTCGCCCTACATTAGACCAGACTCACTTCCCCAGTAACACTGAGGCCAGTGTTTTCCTTCGATGCCGTTAAGTGGCACATGCAATTATTTGCTCCTCAATACACGCACGACCGGTCAATGGTAAGCCACCAGTTCGGGCATGCATGGGCAAAAACTAATTTACTGGTTTGTTCGGAGGGCATGGAAAGAACCTGGGTGCCATCCTATCACGACCTGCATCTAGGTTAGCACTGTTATAGCTGTTTAGAGAAGCAAAGACACATATTTTGATGGACAGTATCGGATGGTGACATCTGCAGTCCAATCAGTGGTTCTTCGCTTGTCGCTAGTAGATTTTCTATCGCTGATCTTGTAACAAACAGATGAGGGTGAATCGTTCCAATACGGAATGAATGCTCGGTAAAAAGAGATAACTCCAGTTTTTTCGGACTCACTGCTTTCTTCATCGTGTGTGCCCTTTCCTAAGGACCCCTTGTTTTTTAATTTTCATTTTGGTTCAATCTTATGACGAGCCACACTGCGCATTTTCGGTTCCGTAGTGACATCGTGGGTCGTTCTCTAATTTTGTCAAATGTTTACTCAATATTCTATCTAACAGTTCTGGGTTAATAACCCGAATGGATGTGCAAACAGGGTCCAAAATATGACGTAATCTGTGTTCAGTTTTAGCCAATAAAAGTCAACCAGGGGAGGAAACAGAAACGTATACTCGTGTCGAGTGTGTATAGTTTGCTGGAAGAATTATTACAAATCCTCGTCTGCTAGTCACTAGTAAGCTGCTCTCTATGCATCAGTAAACGAAAAACTAAGTGTAACCAGATGAGTTGCAGCCTTAAGATTACATTTTCTATGGAATATTAATATTCATCGTATAGAAATTGCTTTAGACGGATATCGTTATTTCGCAACGATAGATAGTTAGGCGCATAAAACTTCACGGGCGAGAAGACATGGATATACCGTGTGCATTCGATAAGCAAAAGTGAGCATCTATTACTGTCCACAAATGACCACGACGGACTAATCTTTCTTGATTTTTTATGCTTGCATCTAGAAGAAGATGATAATCACATCAATGACATCACGATCATTAAAAACACAAGGTCAGAGTCGATTTGTGACTGGAAGATAAGAAGAGCACTTTTGGTATGTTATAACTCCGATGTAAAGCACAGTGAACAGCACACATCCATACCTGAGGCAAATTTTATATTAGCTCCCGAGGTCTCAGCTGTTCTAATCATCGCATCCCATTATTCTCACCTACGTTACCAGACACCGAAATGAATGGTAAAAATTGATCATGCCCTGTTATTGGGAGAAGCTTATAACTCGTTTCCATTGAAACTTACTCTAGAAAAATATTCTCCAATTTTTTTAAACAACTACCAATAAAGCCATAGACCAGACTGGTTACTTCATTACGAGGCATCTAATAATACGCCTAATCTACCATCCATCTTATCAGAGCCGTGATTCTGCGCTCGACGAAAGCGCTGGCTTTTTCTAGTTACTTTGGCAGATGCGATTGCTAGTGTAATAGTGGTTATCCAAAATGCCTGGAACCCAACTTCAGCCTTTTTGACCGCCTGCGATTAAATTTCCTAGCACATTAAGACCTCCAAAGAAAGGGCAACCACTTTTAAGTGGAATCAAAAAGTTTCATCACTAGCGAAATTGACTGAGCTGTGACCGCAGTGAGTGAACAAATCCTTGAGCCTCACAGAATTTTTCGTTACCTTTATGATCACGTACTAGGCAGTACTACCACAAGGGGAAAAAAGGAGCCCATTATATTAGGTGCAGTATCATGAGCTAATCCTCGAAACTAGCTGGCGCTCGACGGAGGTAAACTCGAGGAATGAACCGAAAAGATGAGTAGTGAAAACCAATAAGCTGCAGATTGGTCTTCATTATACCTTACGACCGATGGTCTGTCCAGTGCATCCGGAAACATTCACTGCTCAACCCAGAAGAATATGGACTTGGCGTTTGTTTCTTCCTGTATCGTACACCAGGTTAGTTTTGTTTGTCTTTCAAAGTGATCTGAATTCTAACAAGACCCCTCAAGGTGTATTTTTAAGCCTGGAGGTCTGATGGTAAGGTAGTGTTCACATTCACCAGAACTGTGTATAACACTGCACCGCACTTTACAGCTCACGCTGTTCAGTTATTCACTGCGGTATGTTGACGGATCCTTTTTGCTGAAGTTCTCCTTGCATGCAATCTAGCTGAGCTGAAGGTTAACGGAATCTGATCCAACGGTCCGCTGTCTGCAGTGATTTGAAAAGTAGGTAGTACAAGAGTTCAGATTGTTGCGTCACGATTATGCCAAGGAAGTGGGATACTGTTGTTTCATACCGTGACGCAGCGGGTGTGACCTTCATTTCTTTCTTCATCAGCCGCTCTTAATATATGCTTGGAATTTCTCGGCACACAGGCCACCAGTCAGACCAGTGCGCGTACTGAATACTTTTCTCGTTGCTTGCCTCTTCAGTGAGGTTTGTCGTTCAGCCGTTAAAGCGTAGGCAGACTGAAAGCATGAGCTATATACGACTATTGAATATTATCTCGGTTGCAAAAATGAATTCATTTTCCAGTTCCAGTAACAAGCCCTTGTGTTGTTCAGTTTACTAGGTCAGGCAGGTGCACAAAGGAGATTCAAGTGAGACCAAAAGGAATTGCGCTTTTGCAACGTCCTCATCCTTACCACATAATAAAACTCCTCTCTGAATGCAATATTTCTCAGCACTTAATGCAACCAAAGGCTGACGAAAGGTAAGATAGAAAGAGATTTTAAATTGAACATACTATCCAGGGAAACTGCACCTTTAGGCTCGAACCAGAGTGTAACCTACACTGATTGTACAAAATACGTTAATTTTCCTCAAGCTACCTGAATATTGGCACCCGAGGATGGAACACTGGCTAGTTCCGTAAACAAAAGCCTGTCATACACGTCCCGCTCCTAGTTAAAAAAGTAAGAAACACAGAATTGTCCCTCTCTACCTTTAAGTAATAAGGCATGGGATGAACTGAACACCTTGTCAAATGAACGCGAGATTGATGGAGAACGTATTCAGTATGTTAACAAAGTTTTTCTGTTTCTTGTTTCTGGAACAGCGTGTGGGGATTACCTGATAAGGTTTCGTCAGCCAGTTCAAAGGAACAGACATAGGGAACGAACCCAGCTAAATGAATCGACGATGCCACCCATTCGGCTACCCGGACAGAAAAGACGATACATGGCGAGCGATTTATGGGAATGCGGTCATGTCCACTAACGTTTATCTCATGGTTTGATTTTTGTGGAGTAGCTCATGGTCTTTTCTTAGATTTGTCGTTAATATTGGCCCATTTTCGCATTTCGAAAAGCAATTTTGCCTACCTGTTAGCTTTTTTTCGATATTCACGAACGGCTAATGTACCGACGAACACTTGGGCCATGCTGCTACTTACACCTATTACAAATGATGCTATATTAAGTAACTGTATACAACTGAACACAAACCCCTAGTGGGTTCAATACCTTGGTCATGCACAAGCTCGCAAAACTCAAATGACGCAAGACTGTGAATCACCGATGACGATTTGCTGTGACGATCGGAAGGTGACTTTCAATCTTTTCATACCTTACGCGGTGCGCCGATCAACGTCGTCACAAGGTAACATCCATAATGGCTAGAAAGTGCATTTTTCACTAACGTACACAATATTCGGTATGAAAGCATTGTCATTGTAAATTTTCACCAGAGAATGGAAATGCTGGAGACCATCAGAGACCATATATTGTAATACAGCGTCGTAAAAATCTCAGAGTAAAAAGTGACGTCGCTCAGGTAGATACCACGAGTCCACGGACTACCTGCAATCAGTACATACATACAAAATGATACATATGGTAAACTCCTAAGTAGAAATTTCATGGTTCTCAAAATTCAGCGACAATATTAACATTTGTACGCCCACTCTGTGCTATTTTAGAGACTGATATTCGGGAGCCCTTAATCATGCAGACCAAAGGTCGTCCTTAAACTCGCTTGTTCATCCCGCTGGAGTGTCTTAACGGTAATGAAACGGAGTATGCATGCGACTCTAATGTCACCACCAACCAGAAGGATGCCGATGAAAACACATCCACATTCAGGCCACTCAGATAATTAACGAGGACTAAGCATTCGTTCTCGCTCCTACTGACTTCTCCGGTACGGGTGCTCATTTTCATCGATATGAACATCATCTGTTTCTGTCGTGAGCGGAGTTCGGCAAGGTACCCATCCAGGAGTTAAATGATCTGTTTTTGAATTCACGATGCATAAGTCCTTCCTTAACCCTTTCTTGTTATCTGCTCAGAATACCTGGGTAGGAGGCATTTCTAATTCATCAGTTATATTCAACGACACTGAGGTAATATAAATAGACCGGTGTGATTTTACAGCCACGTCGCTGTTTTGGTTATTTCTGTCATAAAATTATTCAGTATATTCCAAACTCGGACAAGAAAAACTCTAGAACCGATTTTATCTCTGTGGTTTATTTTTTTTCTGATAAGAACCAAAGAAAACTGGGTAATAGTGGCTGATTAGCTCGCTGACTTCTGTAGTTACTAATCATGTTCTTCAAATTGTACGTCATTCAGTTGAATTTATCATCAGCTTTTGCCATGCTTTTTGTTTTGTAAGTATATGCTTTGTGGTCTGACGAAACGATTCTTTTCAGCCACCTTATACAGCCCTTGATTTAATTCGCTCAGCTTTAAAAAAAATCAGTTCATCGGGCCCAATATTCAATATGAATCAGATAATATAGTTGACGAACGTGATCCAGTCAGTCGACAGCGTGTTTCAATCCCACTTCAAGTCAGTTCTTAGTTATTCTGAGCAGTTTCTCTTCATTCAACCAAGCGGACCTCCAGCGCATTCCTCTGTCACGTTGTCATAAATTCTTCTGCCGTGGAAAAATGGCTGAAGTAAGATTTTTTCATCACATGAAATCAGTTTCTTGATAGTTTGTCGCAAAGACCGCATTCTTATCTAAAGCATCCACGGAATTATAAAGCTCTGGATTCTAGTTTATTAGCAACGATTTAAGGAAAGCTTACGCTTGCCGTTCTAACTTGAAAAATGGTTTTAATCACCTCAACTATCATTCCAGTTGACGAAGTCTTAGTCTTGTCAGCTTATAAGGAGAGATAAAGCTACACCGAGGCAAAGTAGACAATATCTAATTTCTTAGTTCATTGGTGGCGCACCTAATCTAGAACAGTAGTGAGAAGCGGTCCCAGGCCAGTGTTGTTCAGAATTAAAGTTATACTATTACTGTACCGCACATTCTGGAAGCCTAGACTGTCTTCACTTTCAAGTACGATTGATTGAGACATGCTAAATCCCCTCACAGTATCAACTATTTGTAACCAGCTAAGGAAGACGAGTGAACTGTCCATCTGAAAAGTAGTCACCCAAAGAGACAATCAATTCGTAACCATGTTAAGTGGATCCTGTGACTGAGAGATAAGTGGCATGATATTATTTTTAACTGTGAATTAAACACATTGCTGATCAGCTGCTTGTAGCCGAATAATCAGCTACTAGCCGGGAGGTCGCTCAAAACTCTTAGGAGTTTCTTGAGCTGATTCTCAATATGAATAAATCGGCCAAAATCTAACCCTCGGTTTAACAGCATGGATTGACTTTACCTACTACAGGAAATCTCAACTAAAAATCGACTTTGCTCTAAGTAAATAAGGCGTCTGATAGCAGAATATCGGAGGCAGCTAGTATCGTGTTTTTTAATAAATGTGAAACTCAACGCTTTGGATTTGAGGTGCCTGTTTGGGGTATCCAAATCTTTGTTGGCTGTCCGCGAAAACAACCGTTTACACTGCGGTGTTCACGGCATGTGTCTATCGCTTTAAGCAGCAGTATATGAGCGAAAGATATACCACCGGATGGATAGCATTTACTACTCCAAATGGTGGTTAACAGCAGTAATTAGGACTATTTATTTGGAAATCCCAGGGCGGAGGTGTAAGGGAAAAAAACTCCACTGTCAGACAGCCGTTTGCTGACGACGGTCACTGACATCCAGGAAGCTTTATGACGTTAAATATTCTAACTTCATTAGTTAAAAAACTCATAGTTTTTGGATTACTGGTGAAGCTCGAAACCACCTAATATGTTCAAGCGTCCAACCTCCATAAATTAGAAGAAAAAGCCGAATGCGCTTCTGAGGTATTTGGAAAGGAATAGTGAAAAATACTGAGTTTCACCAAATTACTTCTTCCCGTTTTGCTAGTCAGTCAGGCTGGTTTTGACAACTGCAAACATGGTTTAGTAGGTAGTGTCGTTTGATACTCTCTGGCTTCCTAGAGCTCAAGCAATGTGCATGAATTTTGTCAAGAGGCAGAGAAAGAAGCAGTCCTTTGAACACGCTACAATGGCCGTTAAAATTATTCAACCGATGGAGTGTGACCTTAGTAGACCTCAAATGTGGCAGTGGTTTTGACTCAGCTATAGAAGGGGCAACATTCCGACTCAGGGCTCGTCAGTTCATTATAGTAACCCACGTGTTTCTATAGGTGTGGACATTTGGGGAACCTACAAGTCACTAACATGGGACACTTAATTGTTTTGCACGGTAATATAGCGAGCTCACTGAACATACAGGCAACCTACGCCACCAGGCAGATCAACAAGAAGCAGTGGACTGTAGTAGCACTACCGGGTACAGCCGCCATAATGGTATCGCTCCTAAAAGCTATTTGACACAGTGCATGGTCGGAACCATGTGATTCGATGTGGAATACCTATTCGCTGACGCCAACTCTACACGACCCCAAGTAATCACTAACTCTTAAACCAGCAGACAAATATCAGCAACGAATTATAGAAGCTTCGCGACGCATGGAGCTGACAGAGTAGAAAACGTGCTCCTCAGTCCATATACATATTCGTAATGAGTTCAGTAGACAAATTATTTGAGTCCTTTTGGGTTGTCCGAAAGCGGCTTTTAAAAGAACGTGATATCAAAAGTCGATGCAGCGCCTTATTACAAAAACGAAGAGACTGAGTTTTTGGACCTCGACCTCATCGAGTCACTCAAAACAAACTTTGTGTCCTTTTGAGTCCAAGCCAACAGAAGCAGTTAATTGTTATCTATCAGTATACCGTTTCATGAAAGGTGTGTGACATCTGGTCCGCTTCTTCCGCACGACCCGATAAACAACGCCATGCGACAGTAGCAACATCCCTTTGTTTCCACATGCCTAAAAACTTGTGCAATGACTGGTGCTGATAATACGAACGAAAATAAATATTTCTGGTGGACTGGTACACCAACTTTTGTTTGCTGGACAGGTGGTATTCGAAATGAACTATTAAGGATGCCTGCTTATGAGCTGGGAAACTCGGACTCGCTTGTTTAGTGGAGCAACAGCCAGTTTTTATTAGCGTATTCGGTGGGCCGTATGCATGAGGTCCGCAATAGGCCAGACGTATATGTCACGTAGATGACTAAAAGGTGACTAAAGTGATGGAGGATACATTTGGAAAGTCTCAAAAGCATGAACTGTACAAGTGGCTGGAGTATTTGTTGATCATGGGTTACGGCAACACTCTCGATAAAAATGTGGTCAGAGCTCCGCACTCTTAACTACTTTCCAGGCAACTTTTGTTTTCACGTGAACGGGCGTAAAAATTGTTTTTATAGAGGCTTTGCCTCTTCATAGTGTTAGTAGTGATTTCAATCGTTCTATCTTTTTCCATTTCTTCCATTTACTTCCATGCCTCTACAGTTCTGCGCATACTTTCACTTAGAGAGAAGAAGAAGGTTCAAAAAGGGCTTATCAGATCGCATATACAAATGAAGTTGCGCACAACACTGACAGTTGCATAGCTACCTCACAAGGTCACCTCACTTATGTTGGATATCTGTACAATTTAGGGGGACCCATATTTCCACTGCATTAACCTATAGGAAAGTCATTTTCTCTCCGCAACTAGGTGCCACTCATCTCATTGAAAGATGAAGCATGAAAGTTAAGGTATCTCAATGATTTTATAGGGACAAACGAGAACAAGAAGTCTGCAGAATCTTTCCAAACTGGGCTTTAAGATTTAGTTTCTTTGCGGGCCTGAACTCCTGGACCTTGATCCACAGAAATGTGAAACCAGTACGTGATAGGCAATCACAGCTTCATAGTCATGCATTAAAAATTGTTACTTTTATGGTAACGCATGTATTGCTCGGTTGAAGAAAGCTAACTCAGTAAGTACTGATTCCCCTCCTATTTGGAAAGACAGGTATTTAAATAGATTGTTACTTTGGTATATTGTATTGTTCTGTTTTCCATCCTTAATTCATTGAGTCCAAAGCTATGCGTTTTATCAATCAAATTGCAGTTTCACTCGAGAGGGCAATGTTTTACGTGGAATCAACCAGGAAAGGTGGTAGTAGTTGATAAGCCTAAGCACAAGATAGTACAACTTGTGACCGAGCGGGTGGTTGCGAGTTGAAAACCGCATGCAGATTGATGAAGTGTGCAGTGCAGCTGATTCCCAACAAGGCTAAATCACCTTCAAAGCTTTTCTTGACTTTTAAGATAAGGTTCGGTTTACATACAAGAACCAATCTCTAAGGAAACCTCTCAAATCTCGTCGCACTACCAACATTCCAAATGGTTCATAGTCAAAGAGGGTTGTGAAAAGTGCCGTGCGATACAAGGACTTTTTCAGGAACAACTATGAAACTAAGATGCAAAAAAACGATTGCTAGGCAAGCCAGCGATTTTGTTGAACCGATAGATGCGTATCTCATGAGAACGACAGTATATAATCAGGAATGTTCCTGGAGAGGACGGGAGTTGCCCTGATTGTTACGAAAATTTTGAAACCCAAAGTCAGTACTAGATGGGTTTTTTACTTTTGGTTTGCGTCTAATATTCAGCTAATTGCGAACACCATGACATCCTTGGAATTATTCTTAACAAGCCTGTGAGCGCTTAAGGGGTTTGCTGGATTTGGTTT